ACTGAGATCTGTGCATTTTAGTTACACAAATTCTACCCTAATAAAGAAATAGGAAACACAACTATTTTTATGATATCCATTCATCATACAGGGTAGAATGCTGACTCTAATAGCTTCCTGTTGTGAACAATAAATTTGTAAGCCCCTTACCTTGGCATAAAGACTCTGCATGATTTGGCTCCTGACCACCCTTTCTACTTCATGTCCCTCCCTTACCTTCTAGGAGCTCCCCCTGCTGACTTTCCTGTCTAAAATAGGTCATTTTTTATCTTTTCTAGCTCAGTCTCATTTGTTTTCTTCATTGCATTTATGATACTTGTATTTGTTTTGTTTCTTTATACTTTTTCACCTGCCTTTTCCTCTAGCATAGAAGCTCCAAGAGAGTAGGGACTTTGCCTTTTTTTTCTATTGTGTTCCCCAAGGTATTCCCAGGATATTGCCTGGTTCAATGGGTATTTGTTGAACATGCGAATGGATGAAGGATGAATGAATGAATGTTCTTATTGTTCCTTATATTGAGAAATGGTAGTATACTCAAATGTTTCTCTGTTTGGAGTTTGATCCTTACCTAATTCACAGAAAAATTATAGTCTTGTTCCTACAAGTAAAGCAAGCCTTTAATAAAACTGTATCTCAAATGAGTTTTTGGTCGATGCAACCAAACTGTTTGATGCAAGGGAGTTTTTTTCCCCCTTTTCCTTTCTTGAATCTCTATATAGTCTTTCCTTCTATTCTGTAATCAGAGCTCCTTACAGAAGATATTTAATAAAATTACTTCTGACAATGCTTGCTTTGATCCTGTATCCTATTGGTAAAATGTTTGAGCACACTAACCATATAGGCACATTTATTTATTTAAAATATATATAAATTTATTACTGTACCACTATATAATGGAATGTGCACAAAAATAACATTTTTAAAGTGTGGGATGAAAGATAGTTTTAGTATTTTCCTCCTACACTTCAGTGGATGGTTGTGTACCATCGCTCTTCCCCATGTGCTCATCCCACTTTGAGCACACTGCCTTGGGGCAAATATTTTACGTTCACTTAGACTTCTAAATGTAAAACTATAGTAGTGTTAACACTCTTGCATTTTAAACCCTACTTCTATGGGTTGAAAGAATTTACTGCTTTTTTTTTTTTTTTAATTTTTTTTTTTGTTTAAAGTATTACAGATGTCCCTTTTTCTCCCCAATGACCCATTCCCCCCCGTTCCTTCCCCCTCCCCAGTCCCTCTCCCCACCATTGTCCGTGTCCTTGGGTTGTGCATATATGGATATAAATTCTTTGGTTACTCTCTCCCCCTGCACCCCCCTCGCCCCCCTCCATCCCTCTGACTTTCTGGCATTATATAATGCAGGTAGGGTAGAATTTTTAGCTTTATGGGCATATTCTGAAATTTTCTCATCTAAGTTTTGTTGTACTTATTGTAGCATTGTTCAATGATAGTTTTCTACAGAAAAATATGTAGAGAATTATAGAGGAAGGAAATAATGTGATTAGAAAAGTGGGCAGAGGAGGCAAGAAAGAGCTACTGAGAAAGCTATGTTATAGGCCAATATCCCTGATAAACACAGATGCTAAAATTCTCAACAAAATGTTAGTGAACCAGATCCAGCAAAATATTAAAATGATCATATATCATGATCAGGTGGGATTTATTTCAGGGATATAAGGTTGGTACTATATCCACAAGTCAATAGACGTGATACACACATAAATAAAATGAAAGATAAAAACACACAATCACCAATAGGTGCAGAAAAAGCACTTGATGAAACCCAGCACCCAATTATGATCAAAACTCAGCAAAGTGGGAACAGAGGCAACATACCTCAGTGTAATAAAGGCCATATATGACAAACCCACAGCCAACATCATATTCAATGGGCAAAAACTACAAGCGTCTCCCTTAAGATTGAGAACAGAGATGTCTGCTTTGACCACTCTTATTCCACATAGTATTGGAAGCCCTAGCCACAGGCATCAGACAGGAAGAACAAATAAAAGGCATCCAAATTGGAAAGGGGGAAGTGAAGCTGTCATTCTTTACAGATGACATGATGTTGTATCCAGAGAACCCTAAAGATTCCACCAAGAAAATACTGGAACTGATAAATGAATTCAGTAAAGTAGCAGGATACAAAATAAATCAGTTGCATTTTTACACAACAGTAGTGAACTATCAGAAAGGGAAACTAAGAAAACAATCCCACTCACAGTTGTTTCAAAAAGAATAAAATACCTAGGAAGAAATTTACCCAAGGATGTAAAAGACCTGTATTCAGAAAATTATGTCACTGAACAAAAAACTGAACAAGATAAAAATAAGCGGAAGCATATACCATGTTCATGGATAGGAAGAATTAACATCATTAAAATGTTTGTACTACCCAAAGCAATTTATACTCAACACAATTCCAGTCAAGCTTCCAATGGCGTACTTCACAGAACTAGAACAAATATTCCAAAAATTTACATAGAACCACAAAGGACCCCAAATAGCCACATCAATCTTGAGAAAGAAGAACAAAGTTGGTGGAATCATACTACCTGATATCAAGCTATACTAGACCACAGTAATCAAAACAACATGGGACTGGCATGAAAACAGACATATAGATCAATGGAACAGAATAGAGAGCCCATAAATAAACCTATACTTTTATACTTAATTAACATTTGACAAGGAGGCAAAAATATACAATGAGGTAAAGATAGTCTATTTAATAAATGGTGTTGGGAAAATTGGACAGATTTATATAAAAAAAAGTGAAACTAGACCACTTTCTTACACCATACACAAGAATAAACTCAAAATGGATTAAATACTTAAATATTAGGCTCCAAACTATAAAAAACCTAGAAGAAAACATAGGCAGTAAAATCTCAGACATTTATTGTAGCAATATTTTTTCTGATATATCTCCTCACGCAAGGGAAACAAAAGAAAAAATAAACAAATGGGACTACATCAAACTAAAAACTTTTGCACAGCAAAGAAAACCATAAGCAAAATAAAAAGACAGTCCACTGAATGGGAGAACATATTCACTTATACATCTGATAAGGGGTTAATATCCAAAATTTGTAAAAAACTTATTTAACTCAACACTAAAAAAACAATTCAATTAGAAAATGGACAAAGGACCTGAATAGACACGTATCCAAAGAGGACGTACAGATGGCCAAGTAACATGAAAGATGCTCAACATCACTAATCATCAGAGAAATGCAAATTAAAACCACAATAAGATATCACTGCACACTGGTCAGAATGACTATCATCAGTAAATCAACCAATAAGTGTTGGCGAGGTTGTGGAGAAAAGGGAACCCTTGTGCACTGTTGGTAGGAATGCAGACTGGTGCTGCCACTGTGGAAAACAATATGGAGTTACCTCAAAAATTTAAAAATGGAACTGCCTTATGACCCATCAATTCCACTCCTGGGAATTTATCTGAAGAAACCCGAAACACTAATCAGAAAGAATATATGCACCCCTATGTTCATTGCAGTGTTATTTACAATAGCCAAGATTTGGAAGCAGCCCAACTGCCCATCAGTAAGGAATTATGGATAAAAAAGTGGTGGTACATTTACACAATGGAATACTACTCGGCTGTAAAAAAGAAGGAACTCTTACCCTTTGCGACAACATGGATGGACCTGGAGAGCATTATGCTAAGTGAAATAAGCCAATCAGAGAAAGAAAAGTACATATTATTTCACTCATATGTGTAATCCAATGAGCAAAATGAACCAACAGGCAAAATAGACTCATAGTTAGAGAGCTGTCTGACAGCTGTCTGGAGGGGGGGATGGGGGGGAATTAAGCAAAAAAGAAAGAAACTCGTGGACACCAACAATAGTGTGTTGATTGCTGGAGGGAAGAAGAGGGATTGGGGGAGGTAGGGGAGCACACATGGGGGATAAGTGGTAATGGAAGGAGACTTGACTTGGTGTGGTGAGCACACAATACAGTGTACAGATGATGTGTTGTGGAATTGTACACCTGACACCTGTATAATTTTGTTAACCATTGTCACCCCAACCAATAAACTCAAGAAAAAGGGAAAAGGAAGGTTATGTTGCCTTTAAAAATAGGTAATCACACTATAAATATTTGAATATGAAATGTTTTCTCCATGGGAGATTGCTAATTGTAGAAAATTAGCAGTTGGTACATGTAGGCAAAGTTGCTAAATATAGGGATAAAGATAACTATTCTCCAATAAAAAGATAGTCTTTCATGAAGCATCAGTTCTACAATACAGCAGGCTGAGACAGGCTTGGAAGTTTTAAGCCTGCCATGTTACCTCTGAGACCTAAAGGAAGCAGAACATAAAAATGAGCCTCTATCAATTTGAAGCAAACCTAATCTTTGTTATCATGGCTGTGCTCTAAATCTATTAAAGATATTCAAATTCAGTGTCCTTGGTATCACTGCAGGTTGACCTGAATAGTGAGCAATAAACTTGTGTATTATAATTCTGGTTTGAAGATATGTGCTTAGAAAGTGAAACCGACAGTCAGTGTTTTGTGTCTGTCTCTAAGCAGACTAACAGCCTATATAAAATGACAGGTGCATTTTTAGGGAAAGAAACCCATAATGTTTTCTTATTTAGTAGGTGACAGTATGTCCCAAGATAACACAAGCTTAAGGGGCTGGAAAAAGCATGGTTATTAAAGGCTAGCAGTTTCTCAGTTTATACAAATTGAATTTTTTTCTTAGGCCAGAAGACTGGAAATCTAGTATAAAGTACTGAAATAAATTAGCATATTAAGTGAATTTATACATTCAAGCTATGAGGACTTTGAATTTAAGGAAGAAATTTTATTATTGAAAGAAAAAAGGCAGTTCATAAAGTCTGTATGTGATCTCCCTGTTGGAAAGGGCCTATATGATAAATTATATCATTTTGATGATTATCCAAAGATGTGGTTATTATATTGATGGAAATTTTTCTCTCTTCTTTTCCCTTTCTTTTTCAGAATTACTGATTTAGGGAATATCAAAAGAAGACTGTACTTATCAACTGTTCATAAAGAACTGTCCTCAACCCCTCTTCATGCAAAAATTCCACTCTTCATGATCAAGCGCAAAATTGTAAGTGTCACATGAATGTTGCTTAAAATATTAAATTCAATTCCGCAAATATTAATTATGTGCCTAGTCTGTGTATAAGGCACTTTGTTAAGTACTATGGTTGTATAAAGACGAATAACATTCATGCTTTTTCTTTCCCTCACATGAAAATGCTTAAAATCTTCTAGGGGGAAGAATATAATTATTTGAATATCAAAAATACCAACAAAACTGTAATGGGAAGCATAGTAGAGGGGAAAGGGGCTACTGGTACTGTGAAAGGGAAAGAAAAACATCTGATTTCAAGATGAGGAAAGGCTGCATGAAAGAGATTGCATTTAGCATGGACTTTGAAGGAATGTAAGATTTTAACAGGTAGAGATGGGAACCCAATCATTCAAGCAGAAGGAAAGCATGGAGGCTGGGAAGTGGCACATATTTGGAGAACAGAGAATGATTGATCATTGTTGCTAGATTTTTTTAAAATAGTTTTAAGGAAAATCATTCTTACAGTATTATAGCCTGGTGGAGGCTGGGAGATTTTATGCCTGTTGTGTAACCTCTGAGATTAAAACAGCCTATAATGTATGCATAGATAAGCAATAGGCTACAGGCCAAGAAGCTTGGGCCTGATATGACTGACTAGTTTTTCTCAAACTGTAGTCATTTTAATACCTCTCTCATGACTACCATGTCTTGTACTACCTGTTCAAATAGGTACTTAATATTTGCCTTTACATCGACTCTCTTGGGGACAGGGAGGCTTAAATAAATTATTTGAGAAGAAAACTTTAACCACGTACCTAAATTCATAGATACAAATGTAAAGAATCAAGCAAGGCTCATGAAAAATCAGGTAAATGTGACACCAGTGAAGGAATCTAATAAAGCTCTAATAACTGATCCTAAATAAATAAAGATCTATGAACAGTCAAAGAATTCAGAATATTCCTCTTAAAGAATACATAAGGCAGAAAACTAAATGAAATTAAGAAAACAATGCATGAACAAAATGAGAAGTTCAGCAAAGAAATAGAAACCTCAAAGAACATCAAACAGAAATCATAGAGCTGAAAAATATAATAACTGAACTGAAGCATGCAGTAGACAGCTTCAAAATCAGATTGAACCATGCAGAAAAAAGAATCAGTGGCCTGGAAGATAGGATGGTTGAAATTATTCATTCTGAGGAGTAAAATGAAAAGAGTCAAGAAAGCCTATAGGAGTTATAGGACACTGAAAGGAAACAATATTTGCTTTATAGGAATCCAGAAGGAGAAGAGAGAGAGAAAGGACAGGAAACGTATTTAAAGAAGTAATGCCTGAAAACTTTCCAAATTTGAGGTGAGAAATAGATATCCAGTTCTAAGAGACTCAAAGGATCCCAAGTAGGTTGAACCTAAATAGGGCTACACAGAGACACATCATAATTGAATTGTCAGAAGTCAAAGAAAGAATTTTGAAAACAGCAAGAGAAAAGAGAGAAGTTACAAGCAAGGGAACTGTCAATAGATTTCTCAACAGAAATTTTTCATGCCAAAAGAGAATGTGATGACATATTCAAAATATTGCAAGAAAAGAAAACTGTCAACCCTCAATACTTTACCTGGCAAAGCTGTCCTTCATAAATGGAGGGATAAAGACTTTTCTAAACAAACAAAAGCTGAGGGAATTCATTACTATGAGACCTGCCTTATAAGAAAGACTAAAGGAAGTTCTTTGAGTAGAAATAAAGGACACTAATTTACATCATAAAAACATAAGGCAGTATAAAACTCACTTATAATGGTAAATACATAGTCCCCTCACCCTTCTTGTCAGGTTGCAAAGCACATGCTCTGCAAACCCAGGAACTGGTACTATAGAAACACTTTTTCCTTGAGCAAAGAGCGTACATTCTGACTATCCCCAGGTTGGGTGGACAAAAGGGGATACTCCATGGAGGTCTGAGGTCACCATTGCTGAGAGGGCAAAGCATAGAAGGCCACCTGGTTCCCCAAGATCACCCTACCCCAGCACATTGAGGCAGCACTATCAGTGGTATCTGGCTGTGGGAGACATCCCTGGGATTTCACAGTTTGGAATCTCATCACCAACTGTGTTCCCCTGTGGGGGTCCCCTGGGACCAGGGCTACCACGTTACAGGGGGGGCACCCACCTTCCCGGGAACACAGGCCATTTTCCACCACCCTGCAGAGATCTGAAAAGCCAGAGAAGTGCAAGAGAGCTAAAAAACACTTGTGATTCAGCACCACCTACTGGAAAACAATAGAAAGACTTATCAATCTACTAGAGAAATGCTACTCATACATAAATGCCTAGACAGAGAAGGAATCCATCATATACCATGAATAACCAAGGTAACAAGACAGCTCAGAAAGAAAATGAAAAATCTCCCTAAAATAAACTTAAAGACATGGAAATGTGCGATTTAAATGACACCAAATTCAAGATTGCAGTTCTGAAAAAATTCAGTGAGATACAAGAAAACACAGATAGGCAGTTTAATGATCTCAGAAACCAAACCAATCAACAAAATTAGTACTTTACCAAAGATTGAAAAATTTAAAAAGAACCAAATAGAAATTCTGGAGATGGAGAACTCAATGAAAGCGATCAAGAATGAACCAGTGAGCACAGGAAGTAGAGCTGACCAGATGAAAGGAAGAATTGGTGATATCAAAGATAGAAATCTAGAAGTGATGCAGAAGGAAGAAGAGACTTGAGCATAGATACACATTTAAGGTACTAAAGAATATCTTTTAATGAAATTATTCTAACCTAGAATCCACTATAAGGTTTATGGCACTCACTTGAAGGTTTGTAAATGTCTTCATCTCACCCATGTGAATATCATTTTTAAATATCTGTTTTTCTCTCTCTACTCACCAGTCATTCTAGCATGGGTGTTGAGATTTGGGGAAAGAAGAGCAATTTCATGCCTTCCTCTGCTGGCCCTGAATGGTTATATGACGTAGGAACAACTGCATAAAAATAAGTTTGCCCTAGGAACAGATGACTACCTAGCTTTAGAGTCACCCCATTTTCAAATCACTTAAATAGGCAGGATATTGTTAGAGTTGAAGTGTTGCATCTAGAGCTAGAGTATCAGGGTACACATTCTGATTGTCACTTCCTGTCTGTGGGCCCTTGGGCAAGCTTGTTAACCTCTCTGTTTTCAGTTTCCTCATAAGTTAGGTGGTGATAGTAATAGAGCCTGCTTCTTAGAGGAGTTGTTGGGATTAAATGAGTCATTACTTAGAACAGGGCCAAGCTCCTAGTAAGTACCCAGTTACTCTTAGTTGATATTGTTGTTATTTTACAATTTTCTCTTGACATGAATCCATGTTTATTAACTTGTGCATACGATGTCAAAATAAATTCTGAACTTACATCTTATTTCCATTTAACAAACATGTATTGAGCCTCTGCTGGAGGCCAAGTTCTGTTCCAAGTGACCTGAATCCAAGGGTGAATGACACAGCCTTCTCCTCAAGGCGAGTATTATATGGTAGAGGAGCCCAGCACATAGCAGTTGATGAGAACGGGCTGTGGTAAACACCAAACTGTCTTAGGAACCAAATGCTGCTAAAAGAAAATATCAGACTTGTCTAGCCAACTTAAGGGTTGTTATAGTGGAGATGGTTGTGCTAAGTTGTGAGTATACACAGACAAAAGCATGAAAGTTCGTGACACATTTGATCTCCACCTGGAATACAGAACGGAAATGCAGAGAAGTACAAGGCTGCAAAGGAAGGCTAGATGAAACCATGAAGGGCCTTGAACGTCATGTTGAGAAGTTTTAAATTTTTAGTCCATTAGAGATTTAAAAAATAAGTTTTTAATATGGAGAAGTTTCATGATCTGATCTGTATTCTAAAAAATTAGTATGATGTCGGAATGGAGAGAGCTAAAAACAGAAAAACCAAGTAAGAGGCTACGCAGAATTCCACGTGAGATTATAAGCCTAGATTAAGGTAGCAAGGAAGTGGGAGAGGAGGACAGATATAAGAGATACTTCAGGGATAAAATAAATGAAAAAAGATGGTTAAAATGGCACTGAGTTCATCTAGGGCTTGGGAATCAGCAAAGTAGATGTGCTACCAACAGGGGAAATGTCTGGTGGGAGCTTAATTTTATATGACTGCTTAGAGTTCTGTTTCTGACCATGGCACAGAGTATCTGGTACCAAACTTTCTTTCTACTATAAACATATTTAAAAGTGGAAAAAATATTTGAAATAACACTTTCAACCATTTGGGCAATGGGCAATGTACTTTAAAAAGCAAGAAACGAGGTGAGTCCGACATTCCCAAGCTTTCTGAAGGCCCATTCTGGACGGCAGTGCAGAGATGGGAGCCCGGACAAAGCATGGCATTTTCCTAAATGTAGTTAAGGACTACTGAGGTAGTTGGAATTTGTAGGTTATATTACCATAGAGAAAGAACTCCAAAAAATCTGCACTCGGGTCCTCTTGAATCTTTGTGCTTCAGTAGGACCCATGAAGCAAGCAACGACGAGTTCCTGGCGAAAGAACAGCTACTAAGCCTCATGACACATGAGGCTGGAAGATATTGGAGTTCTTGCAAGAGTGAAGAGATAACTTTGAGAAGTTAAAACTGACATGTGAAAAATTACTTTGAAAGGCACAAGAAACATCTTAAAATTTGTTCTTTGTTATTTTAGGAGCATGAAAACAGAATGAGGTTCTAAAATTCTGGGAAGAGATGTACTTTAGGATTGCTAGGTTATGAAATTGTGGCTTCTTGTTTGTTACTGCCTTTTAGAAAGGCAATGATGGCTGGAGCTCTGCACTGTTAGACTCGGGCTCTTCCTACACTAGCAGAATGAATTCAGTTATCTTCAGAGCTTTCGTATAGTAATGGCTTGAGAAATCAGAACAGTGCTGGGACAACCAAGAGCACACATTCAGGCGTGTGTGTGTGTGTGTGTGTGTGTTCTCAGAATATGCCTTCCTTTCATTGGTATAGTGAAGCTACATTGCCAAAATACGAGTCAGTAAAAACCAGAAACTCATGCTTTGAATCAGTCTTTTACCCTTTGCCAGTTTTTTCATGCAAAATTACATCCTGGAAGTAAGTAACATAGCCTCTCTTAGTAATCCAAACCACAAACTAAACAGAACTACCTCTTCTCTATCACACCGCTGTCTTTCTGACACAAACTTCTTAAGGACCCATGATCATGAATATTTTAGGGCAAGAGCTCTTCCCTGCTGGACTAGAGTTGCACATAAAAATAAAGTGATTAGAGATCAAGAAAAATGTCACAAAAAGGATATTTTAAGGATGGATTGTATCAAGAATAGTGAAAATAATATTCTATAAAGATCAACTGTAATTCATATAATCCACCTGTTGCTAGTAGGAAACTTATGCTCTTATTACAAAATTTCAGAAAATATATCACAACATTTATATGAATAATGAGTTATTTGTTGAACCTTATGAAAATTAGAACCTTTATAAATATCAGCTAAACCAAAAATATAATTTCTATTTCCTCTAGCCAAGGGAGATTTGTGGAAGTTACTCTCATCTTGTTTAGAAACTACTCCAATCTGGACTTCTAATAGATGGAGTCACTAAATACATTGTGAGTTCCCACACATTTATGGAGTTTGTTGAATGACTATAAAATGGAAGATTAAGTGTATATAGGCATGTACGTAATCATATGTTAAATAACACATGCACAAGCACATACCGTTGCACAACCCATGAGTCCAGGCAGAGGGAATAAAAGCAGCTTGACTGTGATGGGTAAGAAAAGTGTGTAGTAAGTAAGGGCCTGGTTTCCTGGGACTCGGAAGGAAGTGGACACTGATTCTCAACCAGAGCTGGTGGGGTCAGATCCCCAGGGTGTTCAGGTGCAGCCAACTGGAGAGTTCATCTTAGCAAGGAAGACAGGGGCAGCCCTGAGAAGTGCCCAGCATGTCCCCACACCTCCCTGGGCCTGGAAACCCATTCACAGCCAGATTCAGAAGTCACCCACAGCATTTCCTAGATGCAGAAAGACAGATTCCAAGAAAATAAAGCAGATAATTAAAACTGTGATTATTAACTCTAGAAACAAGAAGTTGTATAAGGAAGAAAAGGTGACATAGAGCATCACTTGGCTCCATTGTGTACAATATTTACATAGTCACAAGGAAAACACAGAAAGTGGATTTTGAGGAAAAGAGAGAAAAGAAAGCATGAGATAATTATTGAGGGATGACGAAGTGGGGGAAGTAGTATGTGAGCTAAGCTTTATCTACCATAATAGGGAGTCAGTAGGTAATATCTAAAATTGATGAAGCAAGAGGTATTATGTAAAAATACAAAGAGGAGAAAGTTAGGAGTTGACAGTATGATTAGAGAAATGGAGAAATGACCAGGACTTCATTTTGTACAAAATTTTTATATAAAATTATATATATATATATATATAATGCTTATATATGCATATAATCATGATACAATTTTTTAAATGCTCTTTAAAAGAAGCCTTTTCTGAACCTCTCCACCCTCCTACCTTGAGCCCCCTCTGTACTAACTGTATGTAATAGATTCCAGGTGTCTGCTTCCCTTCCCAGACTGGAAGGACTGTCACTTATGGCTGTATCCTTGGAGCCACGCCCAGTGTCTGACACCTGATAAGTGCTTAGCACCTGTGGGAAAGGATGGATGAATGCAATTACTGATGGGACAACCCAGATGAATGATTGGAACTGGGGCATGATGTTAAGTCTTTTAGGAATAAGAACCACATTTATAACAATAATAGCATTGCTAATGTAAGAATAATGTTAATAATTATCATTGGGTAGCTGGAAACCCCAAGACCTTCATCCCTATAACCTGGATTTTACCCAGGCATGGTGTGTCACCCTGTGGCATGCCTCCTGGATTTGTCCCTTAGGTTCCACTTCCTATGCTAGCCTTCTAACCAGACCCTCCTCACTTTATGCTTAAATGACTGACAGAAACTAGTCTTTCTGTGCCTCAGCCTGTCTTCACTCTACCTCAGCCTCCCCCCATAGGCCCCTCTACCACCCCAAAACATTTCTGCATCAGGGGTGGTCCAGCCTTCCCAATTCTCTGCTTTTGTCACATTCTTCTTCAAGAACTGCAGTGACACTTTACCCTCTGGAGCCCAAGTCTCTCTTGCTGATCTCCCAGCTTCTCCAGAACCTGGCCTCACTGGCCAATCCCACATTACTTCCCACACCTCCCCAGAGCTCACCATCCTACTGGCCAAGCCAGCCTCATTATTACATCGCACTCAGTCCTGCGTCCCACCTTTTACTATTCCAGACTCCTTTTCCCCCAAAAGACCAGAGCACCCCCATGGCCTGGGAATATAGTTTTTCTTTTGAGATACCTACAAAGAAAATAATTTTCACATATTTAATCAATAATTTACTGCAGTCTGTTTTACTTTTCTACTGTAGAAACAACCTCAACTTTTCCTCCATATTAAAATTATTCCTAAATAGAATTTGCCTTTAAAAAATGACATTTTATTTTCTTTATCGACAAATAGAGTTTTTGATTTTATGGATTAATAAAATTGACCTATGTAAACTGTGCTTCTAAACAAATAATGGAAGAGGCTGCCATTTGAAAAGAAGCACAATTTTAAATACTACTTTTCATTTCAAAAATTATTTTTTCTGCTTTTTTTCTGCAGTCTTAAATATGACTTAATTTCATACTAAATGATTATTTTCTGCATTTCTTTAAGTCAGTCAGACCATTTAAAGAATTCGTTTGATGAAGTATTGAGGGGTCTAATTGCTTAATAGGCAGAAATTAGTCCCTGCAAGAGTACTTTAAAAACTGGCATATAACAGGCATAATTACAAATTCTTTAGAAGAATCTTTTTCTATGCAATAGGTCAATAAATAGCACTGGCCACAATTTAAACCCAGCTTCTAATTTCATCCATGCTTTTTTTTTTTTTAACAAATGGAAGTGGCTAATTGGGATCAAATTAGTCCCCTTGAAGGAGCAATTGGCTACTTATCCCTGATTTGCAAGATTTAAGTGGTCTAATGCACCAGCAATTAGCTTCCCACTTGCATAGTGCCTACAGATCTGGAGTTCTCTTCCAAAGCTGTCAAAGACTTGTCTTGTGGTGGGAACTCTGTAGTCAGATAGCCAGTGTATATTTTAGATTATGATCACTTCTTTGGAAGAACTAAGGCAGTTCTTAGGAAAATCAAAGCCAAAACAGAGATGTATTTGGCTATAGGGGAAAATTGGTATAGGACTGGTTGATCCAGGTGATTGCCTCAACTCTCTGGACTTCCCACATACAGATGGCTTGTTCATTTATGTGATTATAGAGAGTACTTATTTTTTCCCCTTTATTTTAGTGGTGCAACCTATGCATTGACTTGGTGGCATTTACCAGTGAAATATTCAAGGGAGCAGTTTTCCAGTCATTAGATGGAATAATCGTCTCAGCTCACTGTAAGCTGCGGAAGATCTTCACTTTAAAATCCAAGCCTCAAGACACTGCTGATAAAGATGGTATGTTCAAGTTGCTATCAAGATTTTTAAATGTTTTTTAAATTAAACATTTCTTTGGAGAGTGTAAGTCCATGGTAGTAGTTTTTAAATTTTATTTTATTGTGGAAAGAATACTTAACATGAGATCTCTTTATCCTTTTAATACATTTTTAAGTATACAATATGTAATTGTTGACTGTAGGTACCACGTTATACAGCAGGCTTATAGAGCTCATTTATCTTCCCTTTATGTCCGTTGATTTGTAACTCCCCATTTCCCCCTGCCCTCAACCCTGACAACTCTTTGACTCCACGAATTTGACTATTTTAGATACCTTGTGTAAGTAGAATTTTATAGTATTTGTCTCTCTGTAATTGGCTTTTTTCATTTAGAATAAGTTCTCATGGTTCATCTATGTTGTGGCATATGTTTTTCTTTACTCTGAATCACATTTCTTTTTACTGTAGCTGAATGTCACAAAGATATATTTTTTATTTTTGTGATTATATATTTTTTTCTTTATGGTAGTACTCACCATCTGAATTAGTCAGGGATTAGTTGTAAGCAACAGAATTTCTCTAAGTAGTTGAAAAAGAAAAAGAATTCATTTAAGGAAACAACCAGTTCATAGAATCTCAAGGAGATCCAGAAAGTCAGGCCTGGAAGCAATACAATAGCCAAGAACACACCCAGCCCCTGCCACGAGATTCTTCCAAGGAAGACTCCAATAGCCACTGCAACTAGGCAAGGACTTCCTAATTCACACCATAATGCTGGGCTCCAGGTTCCAGAATTTCTTTACTGATGCTTCTGAAAATTGGATCTCTTCTTTCCTACCACCCCCAACAAAGCGGATTTCTTCTTCATGCTTCTCTGCTGAACAAAGACTGGCATAGCTGTGTCTGATTTGAAGAGCCCACGTCACATGCTGCACGGAAGGGCCGGCAAAGCAAATGCCTGATTCCTGACAAGGGAGAGAGGATTTGTGTAGCAAAGTCACCAAATTAGGAAGGTTCGAAGGATATTGGACATCCAAAATGCTCTACATTTGTCCACTAGACTATCTTACGTTTCTTGAAGTCACTGGGAGAAATTATGTTAATATATTAATTTTCTAATGATCATGTCAAAATAGAAAGATGGTGAAATTATTCCTCATAATATTTCTAGAGAGACTGGAAACCATATACATTAATCATGCTTTCTGTGATTGATAAACTTACTATGCAGGTAACTGAGCCATCTAGAATTCATAAAGCAGCACAAACTCTCCTGCTCAGATAGTCTTAAACAACTGAGAGTATTGGGAGAATACTGATGCTTCCTTTTGATTTTCATCTGGGATTATTTTTGACAAAATCAGTTCTTCTAGAAGCCCAGGAAACAGGCCTGCATATAAGATGCCAAAGGTGATTTCTTAGAAGTTTGTATGTAGACTTCAGACTTGTGCTCCATCTGGATGAGTGTCGGAGAAATCCTTGTGTGGTTCACTCCATGGAACAGACACTGTACCTATAAGTTTTATTTGATAATAAAACAGCAGTGCGTTGATAGCAGCTCCCCAATGGAATCACAAGCCAGGAATTATGGGCTCTCATCGTACCAATTAAAGTCTATACAAAAAGTGAAAAATTCCATTTTTTTAAAAATAGCACCCAGATGATAAGAAACCTCAAATTTATAGACATATATGTACATTCTACATCAGATCATAGATGAATCATAACCTGATTAATGTTTTTAAATAAATGTCAGGAAAAAAGTGAATCAAAAATTGTCAGATTAAATAAATATTTTTATCTAAGTGGCCCTTCCTCAAGCCCACTAAAATTAATATAAGAATAAAATTGGTGTAAACCCACCATGATAAAGAGGAGGCAACAACAGACAAAAGATGTTCATAAATCTTGTGAGATTGGCAAATAGGGAAACCGAGGCACAGAGAAGTCAGATAATGTGCCCAGTGTCGCACAACTATTAAGTAGCGGAGCAGGATTTGAACACTGGCAGCAGGATTCGAGCTTCTGCTCCTAATTGCTACAGTGTACTCCTCTTGTGGGAGGATAGACGGGAGGGGAAATTTTAAAAGGAAAGGTACAAGAGATGTCATGGAATACGAACGCCAGGCTGTGCTTAGGGTGCCTGATTACAATAAATAATGGGTCCTTTTCTTCTGCAGAGACAGATTAGTCAGTCATAGTGTTGAGACTTTTATAATAGGCAACTTTTTTTACCCGTTTCTTGCATTCCTTTCTGGGATTCAATAAATAAATACTGTATTAAATGCTTGCTTGAGCTCAGTACTGTGTTATCCCTGGCTTATTTCAATTTCTACCATTTTAAACTCACCCGAGCTAGAAAGTGTTGCCTAATTCTTTGCTGTTCTCTGTTTATACAGTGGATATAATGGAACATGAATTACTACAACCTTAAAACAGCAATTAACTAGTTTTTTACCTTCCCAGAAGAATGACTTATGCTGGACACCCGTGCTTAATGGACAATCACTTGCTCTTTCCTGTCTTCTCTTTTCTCTCCTCTCTTTCTCTTAGCTATCTACACATATATTCTGTTTTTCAAAAACACAGAATGATATAAGTTAGTCAATAATTCAGTCGTGCAAATACCTAAAAATACCACTCCATGTCCCCTCAGGAATCATAAAAGTAATAAAGTAAAAGTTAAAGGTATGCTTAATTAAAGGTATTATTTCAGACTGAGAGACCCTTGGGGGCATAGGTCGGGCCTCCACATTCTTCTCTCTCCTACAGGACCTGGCACCGATAACCTGTCATTAATGTTTGATGAATTAATGAAGTGAGGATTGGCTAATTGTTTGTTCATTCAATTATTTATTCATTCACCATCTGTATTCAGTAAACTTTTACTGAGTGTCAAGCAATGTGAAGAAAATTATCCCTTCAAAGGCCACTGAAAAAACTAGAATCCCTGATGTCTTGCCTTAACAGACTTATTGAGCAGGGAAGGACCTTCGAAGTCATCTAATCCAATGTCTTAATTATGCATGTGAGCAAAACCAGGCCCATTAGTTATGAGGCATCTGGTGTTGAGATCACAGAGGTGGAACCTGTGGCCAAGCCTCTGACTGACTATTCCTTCCCCAACAATACACAGTTTACCTTTCTCAGTAACTGGAATGGTTTAGTGTTTTTAATAACTAGCATTGTTGAGTGTTTTCCTACTTCTCTCCTTATCTTCAGGTCAGGTGAGTGCATGTCAGACCCAGTCTCATCAGTTTATTAAAGCTGCATTCCCACTCCTTCCTGCAGGGGAGTCGAACTCAGAATGCCCTTGCTTAGCAAACCACTACAGGGCAAGAGAGGGGGTAATGTCTGAGCACTGCAGAGGTGCCCAGTAGCCAACAGATCCCACAAATATAGGTCATGAATATCTGTATATCTAGACTCACAATTATTCAATTAAAATATCAATTTTATAATTAAATCTTATAAAATATTTATAATAGAGCTTCATATCTCAAAAACTCTAAGGATAACAGTTCTATTTATAACAGCATCCAAAATAATTAAATACTGTATCTAGGAATAAATTTAACCAGGGGGTGAAAGACTTTTCACTGGAAGCTGTAAAACATTGCTAAAATAAATTAAAGATAACCTGAATAAATGGAAAGCCATCTCATGTTCATGGATTGCAGGACATAATTTTGTTAAGATGTCATATTACCTAAAGAAATCTAAAGATTCAATACAACCTCTCTCAAAATTTCAATGGCCTTTTTTGCAGAAATGAAAAAGCCGATCCTCAAATTCATATGAGATTTCAAGGGGACTCAAATTGCCAAAAATAATCTTGAAAAAGACTAACAGAGTTGGAGCATTCGCACTTTCAAATTTCAAAACATACCTGAGAGTTACAGTAATCAAAACAGTTTCATACAACTAGGATAGACATATAAACCAATGGAATAGAATTGAGTCCCGAAGTGAACCCATACGTCTGATTGTGACCGGGGTGCCAAGAACATTCCGTGGGGAGAGAACAGTCTCTTCAACAATGGTTCTGGGGCAGTTGAATGTCCACATGCAAAAGAATGAGGTTGGACCCCTGCTCATACCGTATATAAAAGTTAACTCAAAATGGACCAGAAACCTAAATACAGGGGTGGGAAAAGTAGGTTTACAGTTGTGAGGACATGAAACAGAGTTTATTCTTGTATTATTACTGGTTAATTATTGTATTATTTGTATCACAACTATAAACCTACTTTTGCCCACCCTTCTATAAGAGCTAATAGGAACAAAATAGGGCTAAATCTTCATGATCTTCGATTTGGCCAAGGATTCCTAAAATATGACACCAAAAGCACAGCAACAAAAATTTTAAAACAGATAAATTGGACTTCAAAACTTAAAACTTTCGTTCATCATCTCCCGGCAGGCATAGCTCAGTAGCTGAGCGTCAGCTCATGAACCAGGAGGTCACGGTTCGTATCCTGGTCAGGGCACATGCCCGGGTTGCAGGCTTCATCCCCAGTGGGGGGGTGCAGGAGGCACCCAAGCAATGATTCTCTCATCATTAATGTTTCTGTCTCTCTCCCCCCTCTCCTTTCTTCTCTCTGAAATCAATAAAAACATTTTTTTTAAAATAAAAGCTTTCACACATCAAAGGAGACTGTCAAATTGAAAAGCCTACAAAGTGAGAGAAAATATTTGCAGGATAGGATATATATTCTGGTTCTACATGTAGGGAGTATATATTCTGATATAATCTGTTGTCTGGAATATATAACTGACTCTTACAACCCAACAAAAAGACACACAACCTAATTAAAAAATGGTCAAAGGATTTGAATATCTTCCAAAGAAAATATACAAATGGCTGACAGACACATGAAAAGATGCTTAACACCATCAGTCATTAGGGAAATGCAAATTAAAACCACAATGAGACACCACTTTATACTCACTAGGATGACTGTAATGATTTTTTATGGAAAGCAAGTGTTGGCAAGGGTATGGAAAAACAGGAACCCTCG